GACAATCTTATGGGTACTCTCTTGTAGGTAACTAACTGTTTTTCTCTTGCTGCTTTTAAGATTCTCTCTTTGTCTTTTGCTCTTGGCATTTTAATTATGATGTGTCTTGGTGTGGTCCTCTTTGGATTCCTTTTGTTTGGGGTTCTCTGCGCTTCCTGGACTTGTGAGTCTATTTCTTTCACCAGGGAAAAGTTTTCACAGGGGAAGTTTTCTGTCATTATTTCTTCAAACAGGTTTTCAATATCTTGCTCTCTCTCATCTTCTGGCACCCCTATAATTCGGATGTTGGTACGCTTGAAGCTGTCCCAGAGGCTCCTTACACTATCTTCGTATTTTTGGATTCTTTTTTCATTTTGCTTTTCCGGTTGGGTGTTTCTCGCTTCTTCGCATTTCGAATCTTTGACTTGATTCTTGCGCTCCTCTGGTCTGCTATTGGGTGTAATATTCTTTATTTCAGACCATGTATGCTTAATTTCTAGTTGTTTCTTTATCATAGCATCGAGGGTCTCATTAGTTTTCGTGAAGCTCTCCAAAAGTTTATGGCAAGCCCTCAAAATTGCGGTTTTTAGCTCTATATCCTCCATTTCTGTCATGTTTTTTTGTCTCCGCATTTTTTATGCTTTCTTGGTGCACCCCCTAGTGGTCTTTGTGCGCAGTCTTGTTCTAGTTAAGCCTTGATTGTTGTAGTTAATACTAGAGGGATTTGACCACCAGGCCGACTGGCTGTGTGAATCAGCTGTGTCTGCCGCGGAAAACTTCTGTCCTCTGGGGAGGTGCTAATCTAGCCTTTGCCTGAGGCGATCCGGCAAATGGCTCTGCGCAGGGCTTGGGCGGGGCGGGATCAACAGGGCGGGTGGAGGGAGCAGTTATGGCCGCTCTCAGTCCCGTTCCCAGAGGCTCTGCTTCTCAGAACCCCAGGAACCGCTGCAAACCTCGGAGCGAAAGCTACCTTCCAACTGATGCCAGACAATCCCGCTTCTCCCGTTTGAGTCCGAGTCCCCAGCGATTCGCCCAGATCTGGGGCTCAGAGTCTGAGACTCCCTCCTGATTGAAAACGACAACCGCGCCCTCAGCCACCAGCCCGCTTTGCGCGCGCACCTCCGCACCTGAGTATTTTCCACACTGCGCCTCCTCTGAGCCTCGGTGTGCTGTTATTTTTCCTTCTAGTTGAAGAGTCTCTCCTCAGCCAGCCTTCCTGTGGTTCTGGGTGAGCCAGGTCTTTCATATGCAAAAGCCTCTGCTCACAGCTTGGGTGGGGCGGAGTCTCAGGGGATCAACAGGGTGGAGCAAGCAGCTATGGCTGCTCCTCAGTCCTACCCTAAGAGGCCCTGCGTCTCAGTGTCCCAGTAATCTCGGCAAGCACCTCTGAGAGAAAGCCGCCCTCGAGTTCGGACCGATGCCAGAGACTCACCCGGGTCCCCAGAGACTCACCTGGAACTGGAGTTCAGAGCATTCGGGAGCTTGAGACTCCCTCCCGACTGAAAAAGACAACTGTGTCCTCAGTTGCCAGCCCTTTTTGCGCGCGCCTCCGTACCTCTGCACTTTACTTCCGCACCTCCTCTGAGTCTCAGTGTGCTTTTCTCTTCCCTTCTAGTTGTAGAATTTCCACTCAGCCAGCCTTCCTGTGGTTCTGGATGATGTCCGTTTTGTCTTTTAGTTGTATTTTTGAAGTGGTTGTGCAAGGCAGTAATTTCCGGTGTTTACCTATGCCGCCATCTTGGTTTCTCTCTGTCCAAAAATGATTTTTATACTTTTTCATCACTTTAAAGCTATCATGCCATTGTCTTTTGACCTCAATGCTTTATGATAAATTAGCTGTTAATCTTGCTGAGGATTCCTTGAATATAACTTGCTTTTCTATTCCTCTTTATAGATATTTTTCTCTATAGGTAGCTTTTCATATTTTAACTTCAATGTATCTAGATATGGGTTCTTTTAAGTTTATTTAACTTGGAATTTGTTTAGCTTCTTGGATTAATATTTTTTATCAAATTTGAAAAAAAATTGTCTATTTTTTTCTCAAGTACTCTTTATGCCCCTTTCCTGTCCTTGTCATTTTCTCCTTATGACTCTGTTGTTATGCTGAATAGTATCCCACAGATCACTGAGATTCTGTTCACTTTTCTTCATTACTTTTGTTTCTTTTCACCAAACTGGATAATCTTAATTAGCCTAACTTCGAGTTTTTGAATTCTTTCTTCTGACAGCTCAAATCGGCTATTGAGCCCCTCTGGTGAGTTTTTTATTTTAGTTATTATACTTTAGAGTTTCTATTTAGTTCTATATTTATAATTTAAGTCTCTTTAATATTGTTTGATTCCAGTCAAGGGCACATTTGATTCTTTAGCAAACTATAATTTTCTTTAGCATTTTCAATATATCTGTTATAGCTTATTTAAAGTCAATGTCTGCTAGGCTTATCATCTGAGTTTCCTCTGGGACATTTTCCATTAATGTCCCTTTTCCCCTGTGTATATTATCCTGTTTCTTTGTATGTCTTAACATTTTTTTTATTAAAACTGGACATTCTACATAATATAATGAGGCAACTTTAGAAATCAGTTTTTATTAGAATTCCAACATTTGTTTTTGCTGTTTGTTTAGTGATTTCCCTAGACTAATCTGAAAAAAAAAATCTATATTCTTTGTCATGTGCAGTCACTTTAACTTAGTGTTAAGCTAAGAATTGGAGTGAGTTGTACATAAGTGGCTTGAGCCTACAAGTTTCTTACCCCTTGCTGAAGGGATCTATAGGTATGTCAGGGCCTTTAACACTTGAAAAGTTTGAAACTCGGTCTTAGCCTTTTCTTCTGGCTCACAAGGAAACTCTCGAGCAGCCAGAGATTAAGACCAGAGTCTCCTCAGGTCTTTCCTTGGCATGTGCACATGTTTGAGATCTACTAGATATCGAGGAATATGTCAGAACTTTACAGAGCCCTAATGGATATATCATTCCCTAGATTTTCACTTTAAGGTTTTTGTCCAGCCTCTTTTCTGCTGGCATTACTACTGATATTACTTCCTTAGGTAGCTGGCAGCTACAATTTTTAAAAACCCACCTATCAGATTCCACAAACACCCTGTAATTGGGCTTTTCTCAGTGAGTGAGCTCTGAGTCAGGTCAAATAAAGAATAAGGCTTTTCCAAAGAGCTGACATACTGGTCAAACGGTGACAATTCTCTGAGATGAAGCCTTTTGGGGGGAATTCTGAATCTGTTCTGAGCCTTCCAGTGGCTGCTTGCTATGCTACTGGTTTTCAGTCACCATCATTCTGAGGCTATGGTTTCAAAGACTACCAGGATGATGTGGTGGGGGTGGGGTGGAAATAGGGCAAGTTAAAACACCACAAAGGTTGTTGCCAAAAGTCAGCCATTTTTCTTGTATGAACACTTCTCAGATTGTTGCAAGTTTTTGGTTAAGGTATAGAATTCTAAAAAGTTGACTTTGACATTTTTCCCCCCAATGTCCTCATTGCTTTTAATGGAGGCGCAGATTTTTGGTGGTCTTTATTTTACCATTCCAGAATGCTTTTCCCTTTTGTGTTTTTTTTACACAAACTTATTTTTGGAGAACCAAATAATTGGAGGAGGAAGGAGGTTATTCTTTTCAGAAGAATACCAGACAATAAATTAAGAAGAAATAGTATTAAGAAAACCACAATTCCCCTAGCCCCGTGGTCGGCAAACTGCGGCTTGCGAGCCACATGCGGCTCTTTGGCCCCTTGAGTGTGGCTCTTCCTAAGCCTTAGGAGTACCCTAATTAAGTTAATAACAATGTACCTACCTATATAATTTAAGTTTAAAAAATTTGGCTCTCAAAAGAAATTTCAATCGTTGTACTGTTGATATTTGGCTCTGTTGACTAATGAGTTTGCCGACCACTGCCCTAGCCGGTTTGGCTCAGTGGATAGAGATTCAGTCTGTGGACTGAAGGGTTCCGGGTTTGATTCCAGTCAAGGGCACATACCCCAGTTACAGGATCCCAGCTCTGGTTGAGGGCATGTGGGAGGCAACCAATCGATGTGTCTCTCTCACATCGGTGTTTCTCTCTGCCTCTCCCTTTCCCTTCCACTCTCTCTAAAAATCAATGGAAATCCTTGAGTGAGGATTAATTAAAAAAAAAAAAGAAATGAAAAGAAAACCACAAAATGTGGAATCTCCAATGGCATGGATCTACGTCAAGAACATCAATGGATTCTAAAATTCATTAGAAAAAAAGTTCACGAGAAAGTGTGTAATGTGTAGATCAATACAAAACCTAAATTCACTGTGCAGTTTTAATATCACTGAAACAGGCAAACTAGTCAACAAGTGCCTCCCGATGTGATACAAAAGGAATTATACAGTTCTGACCATGGGAGCATTTTGCCAGAAAATCTGAACCTAAATCTAATCAAGCTTCTATTATGACCACTAGTTTGCAGGAAATATGGAAAATAGAGAAACAATTTAAGTAATACCACACAGAAGCAATTCTTGACTTCATAATGTGGGAAATTACAAGGGACAAATGACCTATACACTCTTCTCACTAAACACATGACATTCTAAAAAGGAAGAAGACAAAATGTTTTAAAAGCTTAATACATAAAGCAACCAAATGTAGTAAGTGGATCTTACTTGAATAGTGACTCCAACCAACCAACTGCAAAAAGACATTTCTGAGACAAGAGGAAATTTGAATATGGATTGGGTTATTAGATAAGATCAAGAAACTATTGTTAATTTTATTACATTTAATAATGATATTGTTTAAAAAAACTCTTCTCTTAGAATACTGTTGAAGCTGTTAGAACACATACCAAAATACTTACAGGTAAAATGATACATTAGTCCAGTCAAAAATAATCAAGGAGAAGGATAATTGATGAAAGAAGATTGCAAAGCATAATCGATGAGGCTAAGTGATGTCTACATGGGATCTATCATATTTTTTCTGCTGTTGGAAGTGTTTCATGATAAGTTAAACATAAAACTTTCAATAGTATCTCATCTCACAGGTAAAGCCAAAGTCCTGACAAGGCCTTACATGATCTGGCTTCCTCTCCTCATTCCCAGCTCCACCACACCCTCCTCCTTCAGCACCTTCAGGTACTGTCCTGCATCTCCTCTACCCAGATAACCACAAGGTTCTCTCCTTCACCTTCTCTTTGATCAAATGCCTTCTTTCCAGGGAGGACTTTCCTGACTGTCCTCATTTCCATTTTCATCTACTCACATACCCTATCCCCTTCCATACTCAATTTTTCTCCTTTTGTCACTCTTAACATACAATACATTTTCTTTATGGTTCTTGTTTATTATTGATTTCCCCCTTTCTAATATAAGCCCCCAGATGGACAGGGTATTTCATGTGTTTGCTTCACTGCTGAATCACCAGCCTTGAGAACAATGCCTGGCACACACTGGCACTCAATGATAATGTATTGAAGTAATTAACTGGCAAAACACCAAACACACAAGAGCTCAACAAACATAATTACCACTCATAATTAGCCCTGTGATACAAATAATTTAACAACTCATCAGACTTTGTAGTCATTCATTTGTTCCTACTGATGTGTTGGGACAGTTAAACACTGAGTATGAAAAGTAGACTCTCAGCTTCAGCATGAAGGATGTTCATCCCTGATTGTAACAGTGGAACGTTAGTTTTCAATCTTCTGTGCCATGAGCTTTGTGAAGTAGCTGTGCTGGTATTATCTCTACAAAAGAATAAACTGAGGACCAAAGAGGCTGCAGAAGATTGCTGGTTGAACAGGGCTTCTGATGATGACCCTTCTTCCCAAGGGCTCAGAGAAGACGTAAAGTGAGGGATGGGACTGCCACTGGATCAGCCAGTACTGTCAAGCACAACCTCTTCCCCCTGCGTGTGCCCAGATACAAGGACAATATGATGCTAACACCACCAGGAAAAGGCAACATCTCTGCCAGCCCACTGCTCCACATTCGTCCTGGGAGCCTGCCTACTCAGTTGAACTGCGGGGCTCCCACCGAGCCCCAGGTGTTCCACTGCGCGGAAGATGTCCGCGTGGGGCTCCTGGCACTGAGCCTCCAGCATTCTTCGCTACAACTGCAGCGTTGGACCGCGTGAGCGGGAGGTGAGGGGCACCATCACCCAGGAAGCAGCGCCCACCTGGATACCCTGGCTGCGAGGCCATGTCGCAGCCCTGAACCAAGGGTGCCAGTTATGACTTTATGCGCCTTTGGATCTACACATGAGTGTAGGAAACCCTGGCCAGATTGTCACTGGTGTTAGGACCAGGAGGGGGGGCGGGGAAGAGGAGCAGGGGCTCCCAACAAACCCCTAGTCTCAGTGCTTCCCAGGGCTTACAGTTGGGAAGAACTCCAATTAATACATCGTGCTTTTTACTTCTTTCAATACCCCTTCTTCCAATGTGTGTTTTCAGTAACTGACCTGTTTACACATACAGCATCCTCTCAGATAAAGGTATGTTGGTGTTTTACAGAAGGAAAACATAGGAGTATAGTGACTTGGGAATCCCAGGGTCATGGTGCAAGTAGTGGCAATACTGATTCTTGCCTTCCATCTTTATATATTTCTATATTTTTTTTATGATTTAGAAGATGTGTGTTAGATTTTGCAATAGAGAATATATGAACGGAAATGTATATTCTTTTTTCTCTTTAAAAGTTTTTTTTACTTAAGATAGCTGGTATACAACCTTATTTTTGTTATATTAGTTTCAGGTGTACAGTTTAGTGGTGCAGCATTTTTATACCTTAGAGTGTGATCACCCCACTAATTCTAGTCATCATCTCTCACCATGTAAACTTAATACAATAGTATTGACTATTTTCCCCTTCCATGAAAACTCATATTCTTGATGGTTGATATTCAAGAACGATGAGTTAAGAGTTCCTCTGATTGTATATTCCCTTTCCTAGGTGAGTTTGCAAGCATTGCTTGTGAGAGTCTTTAATGGTGATTAAGTAAATTCTGCTGCTGCCAATATGGAACAGTCCAGTGAGAGTTCCTCATGCAAGTGGCTCTTCTGGGAATCACTTCCTGCAATGCAGGTGGACTGCCCATAGAAATTCAGTTTGACCCTCAACCTCAAAACCAGTTTCTTTTCTCTACCCAAGACTTCTTAGATTGATTGAGCAAGGAGCTATCAAATTCCAACCATTCACAAAATACGTTATTAGAGCCAGACAATGCAATACTGTGTGAGGTTTTACAGCAGCAAAGATATATATGGGAAGGTGCTTGAAAACATGAGTGTAATATCACATGGTAGTGGAAAGTCAGTGGTCAGGAATGTATGGGATGCTAAGAAAGTGGAGATCAAATCATAACAGCACTAATAGCACTAATAAGTCACACAAAGAAATGTGCACTGGGGCCTGATGGAACCAGGAGCCATCAAAAGGTTTTAAGTAATTTCCACATTTGATCCCTAGTTTAGAAATGCCACTTTGGTCATAGTATAGCTTCTGAATTTAAACCTTTATGTTTCTTCACTCTGGTTATTGGGTTATTATTCTGTAATAATAGTAAGTTATAGTTAGGGGGCTTCTCCAATTTTGAGAATTAGACAATTGGAGATCATGAAGCTGTTGCAGTTGCCCTGGTCTCAGGAGAAGCACCTAGCTGTAGGGCAGGTGCAGACAAAGCTCAGTTCCTCAGTCTGATGGAGCCATAAAGATAGCAGCAGTCAGTATCATATTTGACATACAGTCTCCAAGAGTGACATAGAGTCTCATCTTTCTGTGAGTGAGAACACACTAGGATTGCTGCTGCTGTTACCTAGGAATGAATTCATGATGACCTATACTAAACTCAATGGAATAATTCAAAAGAATGGCACTAAATGATCAATGAGCTTGTTTCTAATAAAATACAGAAAAGAGGCCCCAAAGAAATATCCAAAACTGTAGTGGGAGATTGGAGTCTTATAATTAGCTAACTGGAGAAAGGTTGAAGGGAACTTGAAGAAATTTTAACTTAAGCCTATATTACTCATTCCATATCATTATGCTCCATTTTCTGTTTCATATTTCATTGATACATCCATTTGGTAACTGATCCTTAAGAATTGATAGTTGATGTAAATTGGAAAAGAAATTAGTTTAAATAGATTTTGAACCCACGAATTTAGACATAAGAGTTGGCTGTTGACAAAAGGTTGGAAAATCTAAATTATGGAAAGAATTAAGGTCCATAAAATTTTGCAGAATCAAAAAGTGAATTCTCAAAGCCATAGGAGAAGAGTTTTCAGAAAGACAGAGCAAGAATAAACAAATATTTTGGTTGAAAATAACAGAGAAAACTCATACTAGCATAAGGAAAACATATTTTTTAAATATATTTTTATTGATTTCAGAAAGGAAGGGAGAAGGAGAGATAGAAACATCAATGATGAGAGAGGATCATTGATCAGCCGCCTCCTGCACACCCCACACTGGGGATCGAGCCCACAACTCAGGCATGTGCCCTGACTGGTAATCAAACTCTGACCTTCTGGTTCATAGGTCAATGCTCAACCACTGAGCCACGCCGGCTGGGTGGAAAACATATTTTTTAAATCTGGATATGTCTTCTAGAACCCAAGAGCAGGAAGCATCTCAGTTTCAGAAAAGGCTCAGAATTTGGAAACTAAAAGTTATCTGTTTTCTTGCTCTGTTTCTCATCTCTGATTTTTGTGGATGTCTTTTACCTATATGATAGAACATGGCAATGCGATTTGTTTTAGGAGTTTATATCTTTCTATCAAGAGATAAGCCCGACTAAGGCTATATCTTAGTTCTAAATATACAATTGCTGGGAGAGTGATTCTGATGGGTCCAAATTGAGACAGATTCTTTGTCTCTCTTCCAATTAGGTAAATCAGGAACTAGTTCCTACAGATATTAAGCATAAACAGGTAAATGGGACACATACCCAAATGGGTGTCCATAATAGTGAAGCAACAGAGAGCAATCATTTATGGCTGCCATAGCTTTTGAGCAACTCTTTTTTTATTGGTTGCTAAGTTGTAAAAGCTACTTTTCTGAAAGTTAAATAAAAAAAATTATATCTCCCAACTTCTCCAATCAAGTCTTAACGCGGCAATCATAGTGCAGACCAATCACATATCCTCGCACTAGAGCTTGATTTGGAAGAAAACAACAAAAGAGACCATGTACTGAGCATAAATTCTGCTTGCACAGATGACTGTCCAAGGAGGCAAGGAAAGTTTGACCATCTGCAGCACAGTTCTACAGCAGAATTCTGGGGTGGGAAGAAGCAAGGAAACCTTCTCCTCAGTCTAGATAGGACGTTTGACTCTGGGCATTGTTCTATAAGCTTAACCTTCACAATGATTCTGTGCACTCACTAATATCCTATTTTGCTTAAACCAGCAGATTAAATTCTGTTGTCTGCATCTGAGAAGCATAAGCTCATAAAGTGTCTTTAAAGTTGGGGGTAAAACATAGATGAATATAATAGGATAATTTGAATTTTTAAGGTATCATTAGCTATGTCCAAGACAGCATATCAATGATTGATTATAAATTCTTATTTAAGGGAATTGTTTCATTGTGAAAAATTGGGGAAAGCAAGAATAAATTGCTCAATGACTTTTAAGTGCCTTATCTGAGAAAATCATTATGTTTATTTTCCTATATTTTCTTTTAGAAATAGAATCCATTCACTCTCTCTAATATCTATGCTATATTTTGGATAAGATGTCAACACCCCGCATTGTGTTGAAAACAGAAACCAGAATGTTGGGGGTAAGGACTAAATGCTACTTGAGTGGATAAATTATCTTGATGTTGCAAGTTTAAAATATTACTTTTAAATGAGACATTGACTCCTTTACCTCAACTATCCAATGGAAGACAATTGATGGAATGAATTCTAGCAATCCTACCTTTGTGATTTCCTTCTTTCTATGTATGTCTATAAAGAAGTAAATCTGAGACTGTGGGTCATAAAGAAAATGATGAGGTCGGGGGTTAAAGTCAAGAGATATTCTAAATCACAAAACTTTGTGGACATTGATCATCTCACAGCATTGTGTTCCTAACATACATTTATCTTGGGGAAGGTGATATTTTGGACCACTATTCCTATTCCTTCACTCTAACCCAGTGATGGCGAACCTTTTGAACTCAGCGTGCCAGCATTTTGAAAAACCCTAACTTAACTCTGGTGCCGTGTCACATATAGAAATTTTTTGATATTTGCAACCATAGTAAAACAAAGACTTATATTTTTGATATTTATTTTATATATTTAAATGCCATTTAACAAAGCAAAATCAACCAAAAAAATGAGTTCGCATGTCACCTCTGACACGCGTGTCATAGGTTCGCCATCACTGCTCTAACCTAACCAAGTATGCTACATCTTTCCCCATCATACATCCTAATTAGTGGGGCCTTGAGTCATATTTAAACCCAAGACTGTAAGATAAATCATGGTTTAGGAAAGTTCCTAAGATCACTGGGGCCAGAATTTAGCAGGTATGGTTATGAATGGGTCCTCCCATTTTGCAAAGACAAAATTACTATTAGAAAAAAAACAAAACAAATCATTGTCCCATTAGCTGGTTGAGAAGGATGGAGATGGTAGAACAGTATCAGAAAAAAATAAGTGGAACTGAATGTAGTGTCTGTAAGACCAAATAAACAGGAGGAGGCAGTGGCAGAAGGGCCTGTAGAGACTGAAGCTCTTTTCTCAGAGCCAGAGGACTTGAGGTGTGTGTCCTTCTGCCCTAGTCCTTAAACAAGCCCCTAGACTCATTTACCTGAAGGCAATCACACCTCTACAAGTTTCTAAAAAACAAACAACAAACCACACACTTCATGAATAACCCTTGTATGAGCTACACGTAGCAATTCTAAGTGCTTTTGTGGCTGTTACCTTCCTCTATCACCTTGTTGGATCCCCAGTTTTTTATAATTTCTAGGGCTGACCAGAGTAGCAGAGACACCTATGATTTAAAAACAATGGAAGCTATACTCCCCCCATGCCCTTTCTAGCTCCCATTTTGTAATTCTCTTGAAATTTGATATGTCTGGGTAATTATGACATTCCTGTCTTACAGGCTGCCCAAGTAATGATTGGTCTGATCCACTGTG